TACAGACCAATGATCTGAGAATGCCTAAATTCCTATGCCCCTGGGTGAATTACTGTGGATCATATCCAATTTACTTCTCCTTAGAATAGGTCTAATAGAGTGCAGGTGGCGCAGTGGTTTAAACCGCTGTGCTGCTGGGCTGGTAGATCGAAAGGTCACCGGTTCGAATCTGCACAATGGGGTGAGTCCCCGTTGCTCCGTCCCAGCTCCTGCCAACCTTGCAGTTCAAAAGCCTGCAAATGCAAGTAGAGAAAAAGGTACCGCTTCGGTGGGCAGGTAACAGCGTTCCGTGCACTTCGGTGTTTAGTCATGCCGGCCACATGACCACGGAGACAGTCTGTGGACAAACGCTGGCTGCCTCGGCTAGGAAACAGAGATGAGCACCGCCCCCTAGAGTCAGGCATGGCTGGACTCCATGTCAAGGGGAAACCTTCACCTTTTAGAATAAGTCTACTGAAACAAAAGGGACTTCAACAAGTTTTGGATATAACCCTATGAGCATTCTGATGAGGCAGGATAGAAATCCAGGCCATCATTGTGGTTAAATCTTTCCCCTGAAGGTCTGTAACCAAGAATTTTATGTTTGCGGTTCTGACTCAAAGAGAGTTAAGCTAAACATTTAGATGTTACTGTATTTCCCCAACCCGAAGTCAGTGAATATAAATCTGGTTGCACGCCATCCATATCCTGCTGGTGTCCATCAGGTAACAACTAGGAAGATTTTCCAAAGAGTGGCAGCACCCACTATCGGGAAGATTCTCCTTCTAAATACTTCTTTTCTTTTCTTTTATAACTTTTCTTTTATAACTTCTTTTATATCGTTTATATTTTTTATTTATTTTATATTATTAATTTTAATTTTATATTGTTATTTTTATATTGTATTGTATTTTATTGTGTTGTAAGCTGCCCCGAGGCTTCGGCAAGGGGCAGCATAGAAATGTTCTAATAATAATAAAAAATACAGCACATAAGCCAACTCTGTTACAGTCTTTAGGATTTTAGGTCATGGCTTGCTGATTAAATTGTATAGCTGATCATTTTGGTTGTAATCTGTATTTGTATTGCAAAGGTACTGTTGCCTAGATATGTTATGGCAGGAAGTATATTGCAAATAAATATAATAATCCAAGTAGTATTATACCATAACTGCAACAGCAAGTCAGTATGTTGACTAACAAAATATCCCAACAAGACTGAGCTGTAGGTTGAGGTGTTAGGGTCCGTGTGTGTGGTTTTTTTTTCCTGAAATTGTAGAGATTTAAGCCCTTTCTCTGAAATTAGACACAGAATGCCTCTCAGCTAGGAGATCTCAACAATAAGGGAAAGAAATCTGCAGTGTGTGTTTAGACACGCACACACACACACACACCCCGCTGCCTCTCTTCTAGGTCTGGAAGCAGGGTCCCCACATAGATTCCAGGTACAAAATCCCATTCATTCTGCCTCCTATTTCCCATGACTTTTCTGGGGCCACACAAACACAGTAACCTTTCTAAAATTCTTCCTTCCAAAGACTGTAGAAATCTTGGATGTTCAAAGAATGCTGGATGGAGTATGAACGCTTGCTTTGCTGATTGTTCCGACAGGACAATAATAGAATCAACCGCCAAACGTGTGTTGCCCAGGAGAACTCCCAACACTCTACTAGGAAAAGGGCATGGCACAAGCCAAGTGTGTCTGGGCAAACGGCACTCATCTTGCCAACCAGCATCTCCCGTGATTAAATCGTCGCTGGAGTAGAAGACAGTGAAATTCTTGCTTACTGATGCTTGCAAGCAAGATGCATATTATACATGCCCCCATCCCACCCATCCACTGGTCTCCCAGCTTCCGTCTCTTGGCAACCAATAAATAATTTATAACATTCACTGTCACATGCACCAAGTGTCGCCTGGATGACTTTTACCAGTGAAATGGATGCCCAAGAGCTGGAACACTGGCTGCTTATTCCAAGCTAGCGCACACACATGGCAGCGGCACAACCCTTGTCCACGCACAAGCTTTCCTCCACACAAAAATAGAAACAGATGTGCAGAAGTCTCCACTAGTGGGACTGGACCAAAGTTCATCCAGTCTAGCATCCCATTTCCAAGTACAGTGAGATGCAAGCTGAGCATAAAGTTCCCTGTCTCCAGAACTTGTCTTCCAAGATATAACAGCTCCCTGGTGGAGGTGTCACAGAGACATCAAAGCCAATAGCCACTGATAGACCCCTTGCCTGAATTTCCATCCATACATGCTCATAGAAAGCTCCAAAGCACACCATCTATAAAAGCCAGTGTGGTAGTATCCTGGCTGCCATTTTAGAACTGGTGGGAGCCACACACATTTCATGGGGGAGCAGAAAGATGCCTGAGTGAGAGCAGCCACTGGGGAAGAAAGGGGTTCAGGACTTCCTCTTTGCTGCCATTTCCCTGCTCCCAACATAAATGGCCTTTCTGATATTAAGATCTGAGAGCCAGTGTGGAGTAGTGGTTAAGAGTGAGGGACTGGGAATCAGGCATTCTGGGTTCTAGTCCCCATTCAGCCATGGAGCCAACTGGGTGACTTTGGGCCAGTCTCTGTCCAAACTACTTCACAGGGTGGTGGTTGTGGGGATAAGACTGAGAACAGGAGGAGGAGAATGATGTAAATTGCTCTGGGTTCATTAAAAAAATAAAGTGGAATATCAATCTAATAATAAATAAAAGTAAACTCCTGGACTACCATTGTACCCATTTCCATGCAACATGCAGGTTTAAATTCCTACTGCTATAGGATTTCAATTTCCAAGCTACACATTTAAGACACTCTCAGTTACCACTCTTCTTAGCACACTGAGTAGCAACTGGCTTTTTTATTTTCACCAAAAACAAACATACATTTAACATTATCTATAATCCCCTCCCACCTCTGGATTGAGTTATATAAAAGTCCCTTGGGAATACATATTGACGATACAGAAACCGTTACGACAAAGACTATTCTGTGAAATGGGTGTTTTCTGAATAGCCAGGCCTGTGTGGCAGCCATTCTGCAAATGGGCAAGACCCTCCATTTTGGGATACTCTCAACCTTCCGAGTGTGCCCACTGACCTAAAGGATTAGAGACCCTTGCTCTAAACTCTCTGAAATGGGACTGGGCCATTTCTCTGTTCTATAAACCACCAAACACACTTTGAAAAGTTCTATTAATGGTTTTAGCAGCAACTGCAATGACGGGAAGCTCAGCATTCACAGTATTTTAGCTTTGGGGGAGAAAAACATATGCTTTGCATGCCAAAGGTACAAGGTTCAATCTCCCAGGTACCTAGTATTAACATTCCTCTTTAGGGGGGAAGCCATAGATTTTGCAAGAAAAAGCAATGCTATTTATATGGAAAGATATGGCTAAAAACGCAGCCACCAAAAGTACAGCACTGAACTCAACAGGGGAAGGGGTACTATTCTTTTAAGCAGTTTCCTCCCCTTCCGGGTCGAATAGGAGACAAAAAAAGAACATGCACTAAACTTAGTCTCTGTTACTAAGAATGGGAATAAATATTCCTTGTGCAGGAAGATACCCCTTTTTAGCCCGTACAAAATGGACATAACTACATGTGAGGAAAAACCAGTGTGATTCAATACCTCTTTCTCTCAGTCTCTCTCTCAGCCCCCTAAAACACACACACACACACACACACACACGGTTGACTCACTACTACACCTAACTACACAGCAAGAAAACCTTTAAAATCATAAATGCAATGTAATTGTGCAACTTAAAAGCAGGAAGGCTGTGGAGTGAGTGTGTGTGTGGGGGGGGGGGGCGGGGAATAAAGAGAAAGCCGCCTATGTGGGGAGAGCAAGGGAAGAAAAGAGTAAATATTAATTCTACTTGGCCAGGCAAGCCAGTGCATCGTCCCTTAAAACTGGTGGCTTTCCAAAGCTTTTCTTGTTTCATTTTTTAAGGAGAAGACCTACTTTTCTTAAGTTCTTTAAGCATATATAAACATACATGCACAAAACACAAGCCAACATTTATTTTCAGAGAACTGTGCTTAAAAAAAGAAAAAAGGAACTGCATCAATCATTAAACAGTTAAATGACAGTTGCTATTGTTGTCTGAGCATACTTGCCTTTTCCAAAGCAGCTGCCAGATCCTATTAGGTGTATAAAAAGAGGATGTTTTGGGCTGGGGAGCAATGGGATATGCTATTGAAAACTGGAGACAATAGCTCACTTCTGTAGGCTCCTCAAGCCCCATATAACATCTGTCCGGAATCAATTTTTGACCTAATGTTTCTTTCACTGAATATCAGACTTTGTGTCCAAATTCAATTTGTTTTCTGGACTAGAATTGTTATGCGGAGCACAAAGGAACGCAAATCCATCCACTGCAAAGGCCTCTTGCACAGGCCTCATTTCAATCAGAGCTGTGCAAAACAGAACAAACAGCCTCTCTCGGATTTTATGAGGCATGTTCAGCATGCACTAGGAAGGGATTTTGGTGGTCACACACTCAGAAAGGCCATGGTCTTGAGCACTGCCTCCATTCAACTCAGTGGTGCCTGAGCTGAGCGCTTCCCATCCCATGGGAAATGTAAGCCTGGAGAATAGTGTTGAGGAATCACATCAACTCTCCGAATTGGATCAAGGTTCCAAAAGGACACAACACCCTCATGAGAGAGGCAGGGCAAAGGAAATCATAGCACTTACCCAAACTGACCAGCAGCGCAGGGAACACTGCTGTGAGCAAAATCCTTCCCTGCATGGACATGTGCAGAAAGGACCCAGAACCATATTTCACCTTCCCACTCTCCATCATGCCAAGCCAACACTGACATGGAGAACCGAAACAACTTTCTGGAAAGCTTTACCAAAAGGAGAACATGAAAGCCAGGAAGCTGTTCAACAGATACTGTAGCCGGGCCCATTCCTAAAAATTCGGGAGTACATCCCCAGTCTACAAGAAGTTCCATTAATTTAACTTCAATCTGCTAACTGCTAAAAAAGTTAAGAGAACAAATTCCACTTACCCGTAGGGTCTCTGAATGAGAGTTGGATGTAACTGCTGCACCCCTAAGGTGAGACCTAGGAAATGTAGGAAGAGGGTTAAATTCAGTCTATGAAACATATTATTCATTCAGAAACACAGCCCCACCATATGCCTACAGGATACCTGGTCAAAGGTAAGTTTCCCCTTTGTTCAATGGGACTTTTAGCTTTGCTCTGCAGTTATCCTCAGTTGGGCCCACCATAGCTGCATGGTCTCAGTGCTCTCAATTGCCAGTGCCATCAGAGATGCTGCTAAGCAACAAGCTGAACAGGGAGCTGTTTAGTTGGCCAACAGGAGCATGAATTTGCTATGAAACATGGTGCCCATTTCCCACATGCCATTTCACAGCAGAATCACTGGAATTTCAGCAGAGGGGACAACTTCCATAGGTTCTGGGAGGGGTAAAGTAGCCCCCAAAGCTCTCAAAATTGCCCACCCTGATTCAGCACATACTGAGAGACTTCAGATACTTCTCACACCGTTTGTGACTCTCAAGCCTTAGCTTTGATTTGCCATGTACAAAAAGCCTAGCATGTTCACAATGTTCTGTAGTAGTGGTGGTTTCATTCTGTTCAAAGCCTGGCCTTGTGTATGCCATTGTTTTATAGTTTTAGCTGCTTATTACTTTTCATCACATTTATATCAAGGAGTCCTTGATAGCTTACACTGTCCTCCTCCTCTTTATTTTATCCGCATATCAAACCCTGTGAAACAGGTTAGGCTGAAAGTCAGGGACTAGCCTTAAGTTAACCAGTGAGCTTTGTAACTGAGCAGGGACTAGAATGTAGTATTGATTCTCTCTTATACACCAATTATATTCTATTAACTTTCTAAGTTGATAGCTGCTGCTTTTCTGCCATCAGTTTCCTTACCTGTTGCCTCAAAGTTAGTCCAATTTTTATTTCTCTTCATTGAACACCATATAATTTGTCTATTTTTAATGCCCACTCTCCTACCTTGGACCTTTATCTATGGTTTGCTTTCTGCCAGTACAAGTATTTTCCTCCCTTACCCCACCCTTGTTAGAAGAAAGATGGAAACATTTTTTTCATCTATTTCACATTACCTATCCAAAACTGTTTTTTGTTTTTGCTTTTTTCCCTTAAGTCTCTTGCATGTTATAACACTTGTCAATTATTTTTTCATTCAGTCTCCAAAGATTACCTCTACTTTGATCTGAAACTAGTCTCTCAAAGTTCACACCAGTTGTGAACATTTAGCTATGGGGGGGGGGGGTGTTTTTGTGTGGTTCTTTCTTTGTTTTGCCAAGACCTGTAGACAGATTCAGTCAGTGCTAAGATGTTTTTTCTTTTTGGGCATGTCCTCAAGTGTCCTTTCTCTACTTTTGTTATACATTTATTCATGCCTACAATTATGCATGTATGTACGCACACACTCAAATCAGCCATCTATTCCTCCCTCTACCAATATAAAACCAGACTACACCATCAAACTGCAATTGCCAGGACCAGTGTCAAGACTTGATGCATTAGAGTGCAAATGAATTAAATGTGACCCTCAAATACTCTTGCTGGCCTCCAGAATTCTTCAAAGACACATGTGCAACTCTACAATTTCTCTCCCATTTTTGCTCTAGTTGACAAAGTGGTGCTTTCCCCTCTCACATCCCCCACACCATCAAAATTGTCTGGCAACCCTCCAGAATCCCTATTGTGAGCAAGCAGCTTTGTTTTGGGTACTCAACTTCATTCATTGGCAGGAAGCTCACTTTATTAACAAAGCAGTGCTAGGACAAACATAGAAGTTGTATTATGCCTACACACATTTCCAACTGCATATTTAAAGGCAGGCTGGGTAAAAACACCAACAATCTCACTCAAAAACACATGCCCAAAGTAAGTTGAATGCAAACTACTTAAAATGTGCACTTGCAATGCTTCACTTCAGGTGGCACGAATGGCAGATCTTACCTCTTCTGGCACGCAGGTACTCTCTCAATTTGAGCATTATCAGTTTGTGCAAATTCTCTTCCTTTCTTTGTTTTGCCATATTAGATTTATACCACAGGTTTTTTTTTAATATCTTACCCAATTTGGACATGATGGCAGGCTATGGTTAGAACAAGCCAAGAAAGGCAGGAAAGAAATCCATGCACACACATGCAGGAAGTGGCCTCCTCGCCCCCTCCTTGTCACCAAATCATTCTCGGTTATGACATCCCAAACCGCTTCTGCGCATAGAAGAGAAGTAGCCTGCACTGGCCAATGAGAGTGTTGGCTGCCACCTGACAGTGTTTGCCCGCCAGCGGGCAGGTCCTCTTCACATCTCTGCTGGAAACTGAAGCGCATATGGCTGCATGGTCTGCTGCCACCTAAACCGCTTTAGTGCTCGTCTATGGATTGCAGATGGCCTTAAAAACCCAGTTCTTGACAACCAAATCTATAGCACAGAGCCAGCATACCATGCAGAGCATATTCGCATGACAGGGGTAGCTTCCTGGGTACAGAGTACACAGACAGCCCTATTTGTATTGTCCCATTCAAATCCAGAGAGATCTCAAAGCCTGACAAAATGGAGAATGAGAGCGGGAGAGAGTTGTCTCACCAGTCTGAATACTCCTTGGTTTTGCTCCTAGATATGCTAGGTTGACATTTGCTTTTCGGCCATCAATAATGGGGTTGGGATCCTTGCAGGCCCTCTCAGCTGCAGCCCGGTCAGCCATGGTCACCTGGAAAGAAGCACAGACCACATTTGTAGAGACACATGCCTAGTGCATTCCCCGCTTCCTCTCTCTTTTCCCTGCATGTGCTTGCATAAAACTGCCGAGAAGTAATAATCTCTTCTTTAGAATCTTACTTCTAAGAGCTGTAAGATGGGATAATCCTTCATGTTACACAGGAGAGAGAAAGCCTCATGTCTTCACCTTTGTTATTTTCTGTTACCTCTTTGGCATCAGAAGTAAAAGGCAAATGGGCTCAAAACCAAGCAGCCTGAACACACCCTGGTGCAGAGCCATGCACAGCTCAAGAGACACTATTCCTTGAACTTACAGTGGCAGTTTTGCTGTTGCCTTGTCTGCACTAAACATCCCCCTGCCAAAAATGGGTAATTTACACTAGGAAAGGCCAGCAGTCAACAAAAGCATCCCAAAAGAAAAGAGCAGTTAAGGGGCAATGCAACTAACTACAGGCAGATGACTTCAGACTTGTTGCCATCTTTGTTTCACCCCCTTTTCCAAACAAAACAGAAATGACATTCTCCTCAGCGGTCCCTTCAAGAACACTAGGGAATCAGTAATAGTTACTTTTCTTCCTAAGGCACAAAAGCTACCAGAAACAAAAGCACCCTGACCCAGTCGAACCGGAAGCAAGGACAGCACAGAAGGAAAGTGTAAAATCCCACTACACTACTTCTGTATGATCATTGTGACTGCTCCTACCAGCACAATCCACGCTTTCACTACATCTCTCATAATCCCTGACCACTGTTCACACCATCTGGGACTGATAAGCACCATGTCCAGATTGCTGACCCTTAATCTATATGGTTTCCTTCAAACACATGACAAAATAGTTGCATACACAGTAGCTCCAGTGAGAAACAATCATGTTACAAGCATCCAGTTCATTTCTACTCTGTAGATCATACCAATTCTATGTGGAAAAAAATAACATGTCAGTCTTACTCAAATGTAAGCCATTGACATCATTCAGATACAATGCTAACTTTCAGTTCAGCATTATGTGCACAATCCTCAGACTCATCAACTCCCCCTTGATTGGGGTGGCTTCAGGGAAAGAAACTTTTACTTCAATGCTAATTAGCCACAGTTTAGGACCATGTCCAAATCCTGAGCAGTGGTAAGGCTTAATTATGAGTCATTAAAACAAACCACCCTCATAAACCAGTGTCCCCACAGTGGTCAACCAGATGTCTACATGCAGGACATGAGGCCAACTGCCCTCTTCTGCCATATTTTCCCAGCAACCAGTACTCAGAAGCAGGAAGGTAGTTCTACTTGCCTTCACTGTGTCTAATCCCCTTCTCTAAGCTCCATCTAAGCTACTGGTTGACAAATCTTGTGACAGCAAATTCCAGGGAGTTATAACAAGAGACAGAAGGGCAAGTTTTTACAAGGTGGACATACGAGAAGTGTGGAACAATCCTCAGAGTTCCAGCAAGCCATGTCCTTTTCCAAGATACTCCATTCCATTCTTCCCCATTGTTCTTTAAAAAGTAAGAATGAAAATTTCATAATGAAATAAAGATAACATAAATGCTATTTAAGAAGAACAGCATTAACAATGAATCAAGATCACTAATTATAATGCAACTGTTTTAATCTCCCCCTGTTCTCAGGCACTCTGTCACAGTGGATTCTTTTGCAGATCATGTGTGTATCGGATTCACCCCACCCATTTCTATAATGCCCCACTCGTGGGTTGCCAAGTCACCTCAAACCACTGGGGCAGGCCCCTCAAGACTTTCAAACCATCCTGCGATGTATGGCTTGTTCTGGGGTTCCAAGGTGGCTCGGAAGCCCTTCCTTCCACCTCTCAGACATGCAGGTAATTAAGAAAATGAGGTAAGTCATAGTAATGATATGGAGGTCTGTTTTACTCAGTCATGAAAACCCAGCCATTATCATGTCTGGCCCAGGCCTGACCTAGAGACCTCCAACAGCTCAGGTGTGGCAGAACCCAAGGTCCCCCAGATCAGTTGAGGCCCCCAGTTTCAACACTACCATGGCCAACTATCATGGAAGAAGCCATGCTGGGCCAGTCAGTGGAGGGGGGCCTGAACAGACCACCAAAGGAACTCCCAACTCTTTCCCGTACAGTTAGAAGGGGAGGCCGAGGAACTGCCCAGTCCCAGAAGGCACTAATGTTGGAAGGTGCAGACAGCCACAAGCCTAGAGTGATCTCTGAGTACACTCCAGAGTCACAGCCTCTTCAGGAATAGGAAGCCTCCAAAGACAGAAGCCTCCTGCCAACAGCTGGAACCTGGGTGTGGTTTAGAAGGCCAAGCGGCATACGCTCTCGGGTGAGAGCTACTGCACTGCAACACTGTCCTTCAAGCTCCAAGGCCCAGGTTTTTTTTCTTTTCTTTTACTTTTCCTCCTCTTCTAACTGAACTTCTATGCAGCAGACCCCTGGATTTCTGCTGTGATCGTGTTCATAGGACTGGGCTTGTTCTGGACTGCTCACGAGTGCCTGGTCTCAGCTTTGGCTTCGATCCTGGTTCTACACTGCCTCTCTGCTTGACCACTAACACCGTGTTTCCGACCTCTATCTGCCTTTTGACCTTGCAGTAGTCTTGCCAGATAAACCATCTAGGACTGCACCTGATCTGACCTTTGCAAGACAGTCGGCATTCTTTGGCAAGCTCTGCCCTCACCGGGCTGTTTCAGGGATCGCAACCCCCACTTTCCTCAAAATTCTGCACTTCTGCAGATGGTGGGGTTCCCCAAACCTGCTGATACCATCCCCTTGTATGGGGAAAATTTTATTTTGTCTACCATTTGCACACCTGGGAGACTGTCAGCATTTATGCAATTACCATGGGGGATGAGGAAGAATTATTGCTGGTTGCCCTCCAGTCTAGAATTCATTCAGGAGATAGGATTCCCCCCATCACCAGCAACAATTCACTTCCAAACACAGATAGAAAGCAGAAGCCACACAATAGCCAAGGATCTCATCTCAAACCTAGTAGGAAGGGATCTAATATGGCTCTTAGACAAGGGCAGACAAAGCAAACTTCTCTTTTTGTGAAATGAGGATACAGCAAAAGAACGCATCAGGCCAGTGAGGACAATAATATTCTATTTACTGCATTTGTTTCATTTCTCTGTATAAAATATTTCCCCCCACCACCAAATGCCTTCCAACTGGCAGGAGGAGAATAATTAAAAGTTAATTGTTGCAGTTATCTTTTAATGTCACTACAGTAAATATTTGTATTACCTCTCTAGTTTGTTACACATCAAAACATGCTAATGTTAGCATTTGGGACATGTTGTTTCACAAAGGTTGGAGGCCAAAAAGCGGCATGATGCGATGCTGTGTGCAAATGTTTCTGCATCTTCAACAATGCTTTATATAAAGTTTGGCGCTACCTTGAATCCCTTGTTTCAAGGGATAGGCTTACTTCTCCGCAGTCTGCAAAACCAATGCAGTTGGGCTGCAACTGCACCGAAGAACCACTGCAACAGGCTTGACAAGGGAAGCCTATCACTGGCCAAAGCAAGAGAACCCCCCCCACACACACACACACAAGACCCACATGTTCCAGATTTCAGAAATGCTCTGGGAAAGCGCCAATCACTGAACAGCTATCCCATTGTTACAGAAATTCACCTCATCCACAAAACTGCACTCCTCAAATCTTCAAGCAAAGTGTCCTTTTAAAATAAATAAGAAAAACCAGGCCAATTAAGCAACTTCTTGCAGGCCTGTAAGCAGAGACCATCCACCATTATCTCTGAACACAAGTCACTGGCTCCAGAGAACACCTCGCCGTCTCTAGAGATCCTTCTAAAAGCAAGCTGGCTGCTCACTTCCGTATTTCCGTACTATTAGCGTCATCTGCAAAGGAATCCTCAGGCTTCTGACCTAGCTGTCCACGGGTACCTTGGGGAACTGGTTCCCGGCGCCTTGGCTTTCAGGAAGCCTGAAGGGGAGGCTGCGATGCCTGTGGACAGCTGCCTGCACTTCCAGGCCCCAGGCCACCCCCCCCCCCGCATTCCTTGCCAGCCTGTGTTAAAAAAAAAAAAAAAAGGATGGGGACACAATCAAAATCGGAACACACCACCTCGATACAGCCTGGCATCTCCTGTTGACCATCTTGTCACAACCAGTGGTTAAAAGTGATAACTTTTCCATCTTGTTCCATAAATGTCACTATCACCAACGGGGTCATCAGGTGAGACCAAAGGATGGACAGAACACTGGTCAAAACGAAACAAAGTGCGACGGGCGGCGGTAGAAGAAAGGGGTCATTCCCCCCCCCCTTTCCTTTGTTTGTTTGTAGCGCTACGTTCTTTATGGAGATCTTTTAACGCCTTTCCAGAGGCCGAGGAATTCTCCCCCCCCCCCCCACCCGGCCAGTATATGAACCCCGCTCTCGGCAGGGCAACTGCTCCGCATACGTTAGCCGGAGACTCCACGTCCCTGCACGGCAGAAGCGCCCCTTCCCGGCGGCGACCACCCAGCCTCTGCCCTTTCCCGCGCCCAAGACCCCCACCCCAGGTGCCGCCCAGCACTTACGAAGCCGTATCCGCGGGATTTGCCCGTCTGCCGGTCGGTGATGACTACGGCTTCCTCGATGTCCCCGAACACCTCGAAGTACTTCCTCAGCGAGGAGTCCGTGGTGTGGTAGGGCAGCCCCCCGACGAAGATCTTGGTGAAGGTAGTGTCCTTCTGCACCGTGTGCATGGCGCCGCCGCGAGCGGAGCAGCCCCGACGGCGGCGGCGGATGCTGCTGCACGGAGAGCGGGACGAGGAGGCGGGTGGTGGAGAAGGAGAGGCGAGGAGGCTGGAAACAGCATCCAAAAGCAGAAAGAAGCGAGCCAAGACGGGAGGAAAAGGGGCGAGCAGGAAGGAAGGATGGATGCGGCAGGTCCTACTTCGCCGGGTTCATAGACTCACAGCGGGCGGGACGGCGGCGAGGAAAAGGAGCGGGCGCGAGTCCGCGTGGGGGAAACCGGCTCCCCCGAGCCGCACTGCCGACGGATCAAGAGCGGCAGCGGCTCCGCGCCCCATGCAGGAACTCCGGCGGCGATCGCAGCATCCGCCTCGACGGCTCTCCTCTTTCTGCTTGCTTGCCTGCGCTCTCTCGCCCACCGCCCCGCCGCGCAAATAGACGCGACACTCACCACCGCTCCATTGAAAAAAAAACCGAAGCCCCCCAACGCTCGCGCGCTTTTATAGCAATCCTGCCCGCCCACCTCACGTGGCCAGGCTGTAAGCCACGCCTCCTTTCTGGTCGGGTGCGCAGGGCGGTGAGGCCGGTTAGCCGCAGAGGCGCCTGGGCCGTGCAGTTCGCAGTTGCCCTCGGTGGAAAGGATGCAGTTTCCGTCGATTGCCATCTTTCCGGCGTACTCACTGGGGAATAAGCGCACGATTTTACGCAGGTTGAGACTGGCTAGGGAATGCTGGGAGTTATAGAACTTTTTTCGCCTAGGCGTGTGCAGCTTTCACACTGGATAGCTTAACTTTTAAAAATGGAGATGTGTTCCTACATGCCCAGTGGGCACTTGATAAGCACCGCGTTACGTGATGACTTGCACGTCTGAAAGGGCCCCAAGCTGCCAATTATGGGCTGCCATCCTCTCTGCCTAGTAAGGGTGCAATCAACCCAAAAGTCTTCTATGTTGGCTAGGAAATGCTGGTAGTTGTGGTACTTCTTTTATGTCTAAACGTGCAAAGGATTGTGCCTTAAATTTCACTGAAGTTAATGGGGTTTTCTTCTGAGTCAGCATGCATGAAGTTGTGTCATTTCTCCTTGGAACAACACATGCTGTCTACTTTCCCATTGTGCACAAAGGTCCACAGTGATGCAATATGAATTTATTTAAATAGCATGAGGCCTAGTGTTTGGGATTTCCAGATCTTGTTATCAGGCAGGGCATTGCACAAAGCTGGCAGTTACTGCTTCCTCCTATCCATCTCCTGCCCAGGGTTTCATCCAACTACCCGGGTCCTTCTGCAGGACACTGTGACCTGTAACATAATACCCCATGCATTTGACATAGTGGATTTTTGCCTAGGAAATCTTATACAGAAATAAATCTGTTAAACTTTAAGGTGCCGCAAGACTCTCTGTGGTTGTGACGTGTACGGAGCTCTAGCAGGGCGTTCTACTCTGGCCCCCGTTTGTTTTGTTTCTTTTCCAACCACTTCTCACCATCACAGGGCTGCCGAGTAGGCACACTCCTAGTGGGACTCATTTTTGCCCCCTTCATTTTTAAAAGATTTTCCTCCTCCACTATTTCTACAAATTTTGGGTTCTCCTCCGCATGCAGACACCATTCAGTGTCCTCAGCATGACTCTGGCACTTACCACCTGAGTTTACTCTGAGAAGGAACAAAGGGAGAAGTCATACAGGAAGATGCTCAGTGCAAGTTGTATAGCAGTCCTTTGTGACTGAGGTGAAAAACAGTGCAAACTTACTTTGCATGCTATGTTTAGCACAGTGGTTAGATTACAACTGGGCTTCTTGGAGGACTAGGGCTGAAGAAAACGAAATTTGAGAGAGAAGCTCACTGAGCCAGGCACAATCTCGTAACCTAACCAGAAGGGTTTTGTAAGGATAAAATGGAGCTGAAGGAAGAACCTAACCAATTCATGGGTTGTGAGGATTATTGGAGAGAACTGCTCTGAGCTTCTTGGAGGAGAGATGGGAGATGTATTTTAGATATTTTGAAACTCTACTGTGATATAAGATAGGAGGGCTTTAAAAAGCCCACACCTTCTCCCACAAAACAGTTTAGGGCTTGACCCTGTGCACATAAGCTAAATGGGAGTAAGCCCCATGTAAATTAGAAGTCTTTCTTTCTGAGTAGACATTGTTTATGTTTGCAGCTTTTATAGAAGGACTTTTAAAAATTATCTTTGGCAAATGTACATATCTCCAAATGCCTGAAGTCAATGGAAAAAGTGAAGGGTCTATCTACACCTGTGTTGTTGTTATGTGGCACCAAGTCATCTCCAACTTCTGGCAGTTCAATGCAAAATGGCTTCCCTTGACACCTGCCCAGTGCTTACAAGCTCAGGTCTGGGGCTTCCTTTATGAGCTCAATCCATCTCGTATTTGGTCTTCCCTGGCTTCCTCTGCCTTCGACTTTCCTTAGCATGACTGTCCTCTCTAGAGAGTCTTGCCTTCTCAGGATGTGTCCAAAATATCACAACTCCAGTTTTGTCATTTGTGCTTCTAGCACAAGTTCTGGCTTGATTTGATCTGGGAGCCACTTGTTTGTCTTTCTGTCAGATCAGGGTATTCACAAATACCTCCTCCAGCACTGTCTTTCAAATGCATCACTTTTCTTCCTGCCAGCTTTTTTCACTGTCCGGCTTCCAGGCTTTGATGAGGTTTTCTATATAAGGTATTTATTGTACAGTCGTGATTTTCCATTCAGGGTAGTTTGTTTTACACCATGCTGGTAGCCTCGGGCTCTTCTGAACTTTGCCATCACTAGACTGCATGCTAAAGAGGGTATTTCTGATATTTATTTATTTATTCGATTTATATCCTGCCTTTTTCCTACAAAGGGCTCAAGGCAGCTTACATCATTCTCCTCCTCCATCTTATCCCCACAACAACAACCCCGTGAGGTAGGTTGGGCTGAGAGTCTGTGACTGACCCAAAGTCACCCAGTTGGTTCCATGGCTGAGCGGGGACTCGAACCCACATCGTCTGAGTCCCAGTCCCATGCTCTTAACCACTGCCTTTGTACAATCCCAGAAATATTATCACTGCGCTGCTTAATGCTTGTGCAATAGAACACATAAAAAGCAAACTCCGCGGGGAGGGGGGCGCAGTACGCGCCGAATTGCTAATCTTAATCCCGGAAAGTATCCGGGATCCTCGGTTAAATGCGGTGAGAAAAGTTCCGTGTAGAACAGCCTTATAATTTATGGGCTATGGGTGGCATACAAATGTAATAAATGAAATGAAATACCTATATATGCATAAACTGCATGACGCAAGGGATTTCCCGAGTTTACAAACGAGGGGGAAAAAAGCTCGGGAATGCAATGAATTCATCCGGCATGCAACCGAAGCGAACCTGCCCATGCCAATCCTGAGGGCGAGCCTTTCTGGCCAAACTACATTTCCCAGCAGCCACTTCGAGAATGTTGCCGCTCGTGCGCGGCGGGCAGGCTCGCAGAAGAGCGAAGCGAATTTGCATCACGGTGCGGACGGGAAAGGGGAGGTGGGGAAGACCGCTGAATTTGACTATGAAAAGTACGTTTGCAAAACAAATGTTTGCGCCGAGAAGCCCGCCAGAGAAAGCCGCCTAACCGAGGCTCGCTTACGCTTTGTGGATTTCGCGGCTGCAAACAATGCCAGCTGCTGAAACATTTGGAGAGGTCATCGGGAGGTGTGTCTTTGTGCTCTCGCCTACGCTGCCTCGCTACTTTTGCGGTGTGCCTTTGGGTGACTGCAGATTAATGAATGCACCGCAGGGCGCCCAGGGAGGGGGAGACAAGAGCACATACTTCCTCTTAGTCATGAAGAAGGATTTTATATTGAAAACCCAAAAACATTTAAGATAAAGTGATGGTGGCCTTAAAAAGAACAACAATCCAAAGCATCCCGACGCAAAAGTAGTTTAGGGTGCGATGTTCTTCATGTTTGGACAGAAAGAAATCCTCCAACTCTGACAATTCCCCAGCCAGTTAAACATATAGGATTGCACCCCATAGAGAGCCATTCTGGTGTGATGGGTCTGACTGCTGGAGCCGGCACCTGGAAGAGCCGGATCCTGGTCCTGCTTGGTCATGAAGTTCCAAGCAGGGTGACTCTGGCTCAGATGCGCCCTCTCAGCCTAATTACTTCACAGGATTGTTGTGAGGATAAAAACAGCTATGCAGCTGCCTGGAGTTCCCCACAGGAGGAGAGATGGTGGGATATGAATGCAATGAAATTATAATTGCTCAAAAGAGTAACATGTTCACCCATGCACGTTGATCACTTGATGGCCATAACGTTAGGCGATGACTTGCATGTCTGGAAATGCCCCATGCTAGGGGTATGCAAACTTTCTGCCTCCAGGGAACCCAGTGTCCATTCTTGCTCTGCTTGAACTGTAAGTATGTGATCTGGAAAAATACTCGGGCCTTTTCTGTTCATCCTCAATCCTTCCAGGGAATAGACATACTGAAAGATGAGATACAGCAGTGAATAAATCCAGGACTCACATTAATTCTTAGTCCTAGTATATTATGAAAGAGCAAAATTCTCTACAGCATGGGTAATTTTTTACACCTCCAGCATGTCTCCCTTTCTGGGAGGGTAGAGTGGAAAATTGCCTGAATGGAGTGATAAAAGCCTCATCCGGAAGCACTTTTGGGAGGGATTTACCCACTACGTCCATCTTTTCCCCTCAGCACATGTAGATGCAACACTGCTCCTTCCTGTGTGACAATCCACAACAATCTCTATAGCCTGAAGTACCTGATCCTGCTTCAACCTGGAAGCTAAGGAGGGTGGAGCCTCTGGATGGGTGGTTTGAGTCCTGCATTGAGCACGTGGTTGGATCTGAAGGCCTGCTGGGCCCCTTCCAACTGCACGATTCTATGATCATGAAAGCTTTCCACTGGGTTGAGGCTTCCAGAAAAGGCTTTCCATTGTGCCATTGTCTAAACACCCTCACGGAATTTTGCTGGGTGTCCAAATGTCATAGTGATCTTCTATTCAGAAGCCATTTCCCACCCCCAAGGCATTTTTGTCCTGTTTGGTACTGCAGAAAATCCATTTAAAAAAAAAAGTTGGAATTGTTGCACAATGCCACCAGATTGACAGTGCTTGGAACCTCTCTCTGGAAATAGCCAGTGTGTAAAAATAACAAACTCACCAACCCAATGTCACGTTTATGCAGACAAGCTGACACCATCCACAAATGAGAGTTATCAGAAGGTTGGGGAAACTCCCAGGTTTGTTTCTGGAAGTACCACAAATAATTAAGGAAAAACCCTTCCCATCAGCAGTTTCAGGGCATCTAACTCAGCAAGGCAAGCACATCACCTGGTCACAACATTTTAATAACACTTTTTACGTTTGTATCTGTGCATATAAATTAACATATGCAAAAATAACACATTTGTGTCCTTTTTTGTGATATATTTGGCAATTCATAGTAGGCTATTGTGCAACAGACCTATTGAAATTACTGCTGTTTAAGTTTGTCACAACCAACTTTTCCTGTTGAGATCATGGGGTCTACTCAAAGCATGACCAAATCTGAATCCAGCCCACAGAGTTCAACAGTTTAAAAGTTACAATGCTTAAGCGTTAGATTTGATAGTAATGTGCTTTTTTTTCATTACCCTCTCTGTTTTTTAAACTGACTCTGAATTTGAATGAAGAGATTTGATATGTGGCAGCAGTAGGAAGTAAAAGACTCCCTTCTTAACCAAAGAGATGTGGTCTGCTGAGATCTGGTTTATTCAAAGCAGATGAGATGTGGAAATTGTTTGTGGGTGGTTCCTCTTCAGACCAGGGCTGTCAAATATCTGAATATCTCCCCCTCCCCCCCAACCTGGCTAGTTGCATGACTAGTAGAAAGCAAGGGTAAAACCCTTTTCCATGAGATCTAGCATTTTGTCTTGCATTGCCAACCTGAAATCAGAGTGACATTCCAAGAGGATCTCCTTCAACTCACCTGCAGCTTGTATAGAACAGGTCAAAGATCTAGCAGTCAGTGTAGTGTGGCAGAGTGGTTAGAGTGCTGGACTGAGGAACAGGAGATCTGCATTCTAGTCCCCACTCAGCCATGAAGCTCACTTGGTGGCTTTCGGCCACTTGCTGACCCTCGCAGGGCTGTTGTGAGGATAAATTGGAGCGGAGGAGAGCCTTATCAGCCACTTTGGGTGTGATATAATAGTAGTTGGGCCTCCTCAGTATGGATAGGAATTAACACCTGAAAGAAACTGCCTCTAGGAATGACTCCAGGAAACAATAGCAGAGTGATGCTTTGCACACAGAGGAAATGTGTCTTGTACTGGTCTGGCCTTGGGTCCATCCAGTCCCGTCTCGACAGCCGTTTGGCAGCCATGGCCTTCCAGGGGTTCGGGCAAGTTCCTTCCTAGCCTTCTTTGGGGATGCCAGGAATCGAACCAGCAACATTCTGCCTGCAAGGTATGGGTCAGGTCCTCTTCCTGGCTCCCAGTTCCAAATTCAGTCACAGCCGTTTCCCCTCAAGACACATTTTGGGTCGCAGAGGGAGGAGGGAAATGCCCAGAGACAGCAGTTGTGGGTCAGACTAGGGAAGACTGGACTCGAAGGACCATTCGCCCAAGTGGTGGACAGATGCTTTGGACTGCGGCTTGTAGCCTGTCGCCTCAGCCAGTGATCCACAAGTTTGTACAGTACTGTGGGAATAGTCAGCCTGTTGGTTTTGCTAATATGAGATCTGGATGGCTGCCCGTATCTGGACTGTGAAGCATCCCAGGAGGAGATGCCCTCAGTCCTTTTTCATGTGTAGCGGCAGTTGTGCTGCATCCAGTGCTCGCTTCCTTCGTCTCTGCTTTTCTGAATGCAGCGCAGCCCCTCCATGCTGCTGCTATAAATAATGAACCTTTGCATTAAAAGGAACATTTTTGCGGTCAGCGGACTGTGAAAACAGAACATGTTCAAGATCTTGCCTTTGCTTCCTCAGAATTAACTCACCTTTACCAATATTTTGGAACTCTGCGTCCTGGCCCAGTGTGGAGACCTTCCTGATCCCTCTCTTAATCCAATGTAAAATTGCAAATTCTCTCTTCTGCACAGCACCTAGTGCAAATGTTGTGCAATAAAAAGTTAAATAAAGATGTATGGAAACACCTCAGTCTAGGCAAGGGGGGGAATATTATAGTCTGAGGGTTATTTCCACTTCTTGGTGGCTTTACCCAGGGAGGTGTGCCTGGCCCTGGCCCTTTATGCAATTCTGCGCCAGGTTAAACCCTTTTAATTTTCCCATTATTTTAATTGATGAATAGTTTTTGATTTTATATTGGTCTTATATGCAGATGATTGTCTTGTTTTGGATTAGTTGTTTACTGTGGGTTAATTGTTTATTGTGTTGTCTGTTATAATTATTGATCTGTTGATTTTTTGTTTACTATACTCAAACTTTTATGATTATTATGGATATGTTAATTAGGATTCTGTCTTATGCTGTTTTAAATGATTGTACACTGTTCTGAGAGCATTTGCTAAAAAAAAGTGTATA